CTCCCTCCATTGCTAAGAAATGAAGTTTTAAAAGGTCTTTTAAAGTAGTGTTTAAAAGTAGAACATTTTTTCATTATATACTCAGACTTGGAACAGAGGAGTGGAGGAAAATATGCCTCACTGGCTCTGGATATGTGTCTTTTCAATCTAGAATTATTGTTATGAACAAGGTTTGCAAGTGGTTTTGGCCAAAACAATCCTCTCTTTCTAAGGACATGTGAAAAAAAAAAAAAAAAAGAATTAAAGGAAAAAACCTTGAATTCCAACTCCTTCACCTTTCCTTTTTTCTTCATAGTTTTTCCAGCTCTAAAGGAAATTTGACTCAGGCAATACAACCGTGTTCATCACAAAGTAATGTGGCCTCCCTCCACCACCACACCATTCAGTTAAAACACTGCTAAGTTCACACACCATGTAAATACTTTGGGGTTCTTCTTTGTATGGCCAAAGCCAAGCATCAGTCTTTATAGGCACAAATTGCCCTTTTTCCTGAGATAGCACTAGCAATGTGTTCTTTCCTCATCAAAAACCTCATGGGAACTTTTTAAATGAGTGACATATTCTTTGCCAGGACAAACTACCTGGGAACACCAAGGCTGAAAAGTCTACAGTCCTGTGTCATAAGTGATAGATAATTTGAAGCCCTTTACTCGACCAGCTATCAATAATAAAACTTTAAATAAGCATAGAAAATTTTACCAAGCCAGTCAGTTTGTCTGACAAAGGCTGTCATAAGAACACTTACTGAAACATAGCCACTGATGAAGTAGGAAAAATCATTAATAAACCCTTGTGTAACATCTACTTGCTATTCACCATATCTTTTTCCATATTAATCATCCCAACACATAAAAGTTACAAAAGGATGCAGTCTGTGAAAGCCATTTTGTCACAAAGAAAATTCTTTCAAATAAATGAAAATATACTTCATTATCAACCTGTGAATAGCATGATAATTTAAACACACTTCAGAACACTTATTTGCATGAACAAAACTTGCATAAAGGTTTGCTTTTTCTCTGCAATGGATAAGCTTGTCACCTCAAACTACAGAAGGACAAAAGGTGAAGGAGATGCTGCTCTCCTCCTTTGTTTTTGGTGATAGCCTGAGTGGTTATATTCATTGCTCTGCTAGGTGCTCCAAAAGCCTTTCCCTTCCACACGCCCAGCTTATTCCCTTTTATTTTTTAAACTAGCACCTATTTTCCATTAGTAGTATCTACAGATAAAGGTGCTCAAAATGAGGGTTAACAGTTAGCTATGGATCATTTAATGTTACTCTTAAAATGCTTCCCTTCCCTTGCAGTGTTTCTGAGTTTCCTTCTGCCTCCCTCACCATAGCTATGAACATACATGCTACATTTGGAACTACAGTAATTGCTGATATATCAAAGGCTGCTTGATTTTACCCAGATGAGATACCAAGAGCATAAAGCTGAGATTAATACAGGCTTTAGCTTGTGTTTTTTATGTCTGCTGGAACCTTGTGCACTTAGCAAGGAAGAGAACCTGCAATGAGGTCTATGCTATCATGATTTCACTTCTACTAGAACCTGAGTGACCTGTTTTGAGATGAATATGGATGGTATTATGACACCTACACACCCCTGCTCCAGGGAGAAATGTCACAAAAAGCCAAGTTCTGAAATCTGGACTAACACAAACTAGGTCAGAGCAGAACTGCAAACTCTATTTTCATCAGTAGCCTCCTGCCCTATTTTTAACTTGGTCTTTTTAGGAGGCTCTGTCTCCAATGATCACATGTGCCACAGCTGAGTCTTTGGAAACATGGCCTCTAACAGAGAAGTGGCTTACACTTGTTCTCAAAATCCAGGGCTTTGAATTTCACTTTGGATCAAATGGCAATCAATGCAGGTCACAGACTAGCTTTTCTTGACACTTTTAGCAAGAAATTCTGCTGAAAGAAAAATCAATGTGTCAGACCTCCCTTCAATATGAATATAAAAGCACAGTTGTTAGAACCTTTCCAACTCAACTGCAATAACTCTGCCTAAAGACACTATTCAGCTTTTGTGCAAAGAACAGCCTTCAGCTCAAAACATTCTCCAAGTTCCATTCTCAGATTCCTAACTCTCCCCAACTTATACATAGGACCAATAAACTCACATGGATGCATAGCTACGTATTACATTAATACTTTAATTTGGATTTATCTTGTATTTCTACATCTACTCCTTGTCGATTTAATTTTTCACTTGTGTTCTTTGCATAGTTTAAAACCTCAAAGAGCAGAAATTCCCTCTAAAGCACCTGGACACACAATGGAAGATAAATGCAGCAAAGAAGTCTCAAGGTAGAGTAAAAGGACAGAGACATTTACACCTGCTCTTCTTCATTACTCATGGCATAATCTCTTGCCATTTTCTTAAATAAGGTTATTAGAAAAAGCAATTCAATCAGATGGACATCTTCTTTATCTTCAGGCCTTCCCTCTTCAGAATACGGTTATTCAACAACTGGTCCAGAAAGTGGATCTGACACAGAAAGTACCTTTAAGATAATGAGCTGCATATTGAGCAAATAAGGATTTTGTTTAGCTTGGTACAGGCAAGGGAAGTGGGTCTGAACTGACCGGCAGGGAAACAGCTATTTTTGATGTTCATGACTCAAACAACTCTGCCTGTCCACCTCTGAACATGAGCATCATCAGTGCTTAGACATCAGTTGTTTGAAAAAGGCATCACTCTGGCAACTTGAAAAGTAGCCTGTTTGAAACAGCATTAACCATGGCTCTCTAGAGGAATATTGAAAGACTGTCTTGAAGTTCTCCATGTGGTACCAGTCACTGGGTACTGCTGTTGTATTTATCAGAAGAGATCCATAATGAAACAGGACATCAAACATCAAAATAAAAATATGAAAAGAACAGCAGGAAACAGGAATACAACTGCAGTAAGATATTTTGGCTATTCACTTAGAGGAAACACAATTTCATCGAGTCAAAAAATGTGCTCAGAAATACAAAGAAAGGAAATTGTTTACACGGGAAATCAGGGTGGTGATGTAATGTCAAGAAATATCAGAAGATGCGGTTCATTGAATAGTTGGCTGGGGGAAAATGTTATTCATACAACATAAGGTCCAGTCACCTGCCACTTATACTAGATCTGACCATCTTTTCTATGATCCCCTCCTCCCATATACACATAACTTCAGTGACTAAAAACCTGGGTGAAAAATGAAGAGGGAAACAAGCACAGCCTGAAAGGAAATATTTTACCACATGGATCCAGATCCTGTATCCCAGCCACTCTCCTGTAGTGCTGGGTAGCCCTGGACTGGAACAAAGTCAGCTGGATGTTCAGCACCATTGTCAAAAAAAAAACAAACCAAGCAAGCAAAACCCCTGCATCCTACACAGTTGTTTCTCTGCCCAGGACTTATTACTGAATTTTTTACTACTTTTTTTCCCAGAAGGGAGAATTTAAAGTGTTTGACGTCTCAGTGGTAACGTGGCTTCAATAATCCAGGTGCAAGAGGTGACAGCTACAGAAAACTGGTTTCTAAAAAACATTCAGTCACTTAACAATCACATTGCTACATGAAGTGTTACCCAAAAGTTAAATATTGCTAGAGATTTCTTGGCTCTGTTTATGCTGTCAGCACCCTTACCACCAAAGCACTGACAAAACTTGAAGCCACTGCTCATAACAATAACAAGAACGTGATAGTGGAATTTATGGCAGAATATTAAAATTGAAGGAGTTTTCGGTTTCATTTTGTGAAATTAACTCAGCAACAACAGCAAGCACATTGAAATCACACCACCAATCAGAAAATTCACATTTGGGACAGCAAAGAAATGAAATGCTATATTTCTTATGTAGCTGGACTTAATACTGGTAACTGCAGAGTCTATAAATCATTTTCTCCACAGGACTCTAAAGTCATACGTGACAAATATAAATCCTTTTCTCATAATCCTATCCTTGATCTTTTCATGTTGTTATTGAACTTCCTGGCTAAATTATTGCTAAAATAAGTTGCTTTTTTTCCTACAAAATTTGCCAAACTGCTGGAATTCATTTGTATTGTCCTTTTACTAGAAGAATTCCTGTAACATTCCCATTGACCTAATTGCAGGTTTTGGCCTGAAAAGATGACACGTTTGTGTGAATCTGGTAAAGCTGTTGAAGCAGGGATACTAGAAATGAAGTACCCTTCTGGCCCCTTTCATCAAGCTCCAGGCTGAATCCCCTTAGGAATGTGATGGCATCTCTTCTCCTTGTTTTTTTCTAAAATCTGTTCTAAGCTGCTTAAAAAAAAAAAAATCTGACTGGAATAACCCAGAAACTAAAGTAAAGACAGCTGGAAAGATGAAAGAGTGATAATGTTTAGACGCAAACCAAGCGACATGTTCCAACAACTGGCAGGGTCTAAATTCTGTCCCAGAAATGTATGTTATCAAGGAATACAGTGTCAGTGGGGAAATCTCTGAAATCACAATACAATGACGTTAAGTCTCTATCTGGAAAGCATTATCATTATTTAGAGAAAACCAGAATTTTCATATTTATATGCCTTCAGTGTGGTACCTCTTTCAGCAAAGAAATAAAAAACAATAATCACAGGATAAAATTGATTATTTGGAGACAGTTTAAAGCCTGGACAGATACTATATGCCACCATTAGGCAAGCGGTTCAAATGAAGTAATATCATATGAGCAATATTGCTTCCTATATTAGACTTAAAACACAATTTGCAGAGCCTCCAATCCAGAGCAGCTCCTACTTTTACCCCTGCTGCAGATGAAACTTGCCCTGGGCAAAGTCCCATTTTACGGCAGAGACAGTGCCTTTCACTTGTATCCTTTAATCTGGCAAAATCCTTGGATGTGCCCACAATTACATTTAGAATCACGGGTCAGGGACCCATACATAACCACGTCTCTATCAGTGTGTTGTGTTCCTAACATATTTCTAGTTTTAATATATATTCCTAATTTTCTAAGCTTCTGTCATCATAGTGGCTTCCTTACCAGCACAGATCTTCCCATCATAGGTCTCGCACACCCAGTCATGGCACTCACAGAGTGGACCGTAGTATTTGCCAGACTCAGTCACTTGGCAGATGCAGACTCCACACTCACATGTGCCTCTGTCATTGCACAACTTCCCACCTGGGACACGGCACCTGAGTTCCGACTCAGTCCGGGACAGCTGGCACAAAGTAGGACCACCCAAACTGCTCCTGTGGGGAACAGCAAGCAGAATAAGCTGGAGTCAAAGACAGGGGCTGCAGCTCAGAGGTGATGAGAGCTTGGCTCATAGGAAACCATCCTCCTTGGTTTCAGCCCATATCCAGAACACTGTTCTTAATGCCACCATTTAGTTATGGTTGCAAAATCTTATTTGCCTCATATACCCCCAATTTTCTTCATCAGCAATCTCACTGATACCTGCAGGAATGTTTCTATTCGATTTTACTTACCTTGTTAACTGTGTTAGGTTCATCTACTTCCTCATCATGCATATCTGGTATATATGCATAGGTATGTGTAGTTTGACTATCTATCATGAAACATTTTGATCTTAATTATTCCAAAAAGTTTAGAGATGACATATACATGCAAACATCTAGGTAGCATAACAGGAATATATGATATCAAAAAGTAAACCTATGGTTGATTCCAATAAAATATGTTTCACAAAGTAATCCTTTTGGTTGTCAGACATATATGATCCATGCTTTCAAAGGAAAAGGAAACTGAATTAATCACCACTTCCCATGCAATAGTGTAGTTTGTGGCTGTGGTTTTAGTAAATCCAGCAGAATCCAGATGCCGGATCAGTAGGTTTACAGCTCTGCCATGCAATTGTACCATGCACTGGAGCACAGAGACATCAGGACTTTCAGAACATACACAGGGAAAATCACACTTTGCCTTATCGGGAGCTGCATTGTAAGAAAACAGAACTAAGGACTGTGCAAGACAAATAGGTCTTTACAATGCTAGGGAATACTGGGGATTAAAGTGAGTAGTACCTGCCCTTCTCAGTAGATTTTGCAAGGCTCTAGAGCAAAGGAACTGCTGGTTCTAGGAGTCAGGGTGTGCTGGCTGTGGTGGAGGGGAAGAGTGAAGGGCAGTGTGCCTCACTGTGCTACTGCACCAAAGTGCAGGAACAAGCAGGGTTCTATGGTTAGATGCCTGCTCCACTCAGGCAGCAGAATTTAGAGGTTGGGCGTAAAGTCATCAGTATCCATCTCTTCCCCCTTTGCTGCTTTCAAAGCCTGCATCTTCGGCATCAAATACATCATTGCAAATAACTCCCGCAGTTTTCACAGGCACCTACCTGTTGAGATTCCCAGGGACCCAGAGTGCTTCCCTCAGTGTTACTTTTAAGCAGGCAGAGGAAGAGCTAACAAACTTCTCCACTGTTCCCTCTGCAACCCCAGCTTCCACGCTCCTGACATCTCAAAATCGGTCGCAACCCCCCGTGAGGCTTCAAAGCCACACTTACCGCAGGGCCAGGGGGCCAGCCGGCGGCGAGAGGTGACCGGCCGGCACCGAGGTGACCAGCAGCAGCGCCAGCCCCAGCAGCCCCTGTGCGTACATGGTGCAGGCTGTGCTATGCCGCACCTGGAGTACTCCTGCAGACGGGCCGACAGACAGCCGGACAGACCCGCCAGGCATGCGGAGAGCTGCGAGCTGGACAAGCCCGGCTCCAGCGCTGCTCCCCCCGTGCTGCAGTAGCTCTGATTAGCTGCCTGGGAGCGGGATTTGGGCAGCACTCTGGGAAGGAGGCCGGTGCCAAACCCCGAAGTTTACAGTCTAGGCAGGAAAGTAATTAGAAACAGTTGCGCAGCCAGATGGTTTATTTTGATGTTTTAAAAATGGCCCGTTCACAGATGGGAACGAACTGTCTCATTCTGAAAGTGCAGGCACCGTAAATATTTGAGGTATGTGTATTCCCCTGTCCTTTGATGCCTGGCTGCTTGGGATAATCTGTGTAACGTGGTGGGTGAAACTTGCACCGCCGAAGAGACAGGATCAGCGCTCCCCAGCCACAGCATCCCTGCCTGGCTGCTGGAGCACGTCCCTGCCGCCTGCCTCCCCAGGTCCCTCCCTTCTCTCGTTCCCCTGAGGTCACCTGCTCACGTCATTGCACTGTACGACACTGCAGGTTGCCAACCTACACCAGCCTGAGTGACTGCACATTAAAAATACTGTTAGCTAGCCATTTCCTAATGCCTTGTTAAAGCACACAGTCCAATACTTCATCACAGCAGTGGGAGATTTTGGAAGTGCTTTAAAACTAAGCTGAGGGATAGTCTCTCTAAATGAATCAAATTTCGCCATGTTCATTTCTTTATCCAACACTTCTTGATCCCTCTGGTTGTCCTGAGAAATTGCTGATTGCCATATACCTCCCTGAGATGGAAAGCTCTTAAAGAAACACACTTTGACCACAAAAGATAGTATGTTAGGGGTTTCCTACTCTGCCAATACACATACAGATTTTTAAAGCAGGCAGCTGACAGAAGAAACTTTCACTGGTTCTGGAGCCTGTATTGGATATAAAAGCCCTCAGTAGCTTTCTCAAAATGGACAACTCTTGGTTTAGTTTCATATTAAATATCTGGTATAACACAGATTATAATGTGTTTTTTAAAAAAATTAATATTTTGTTAAAATTCTTCGACTTATAGGCTGTCTCTCCTAAAAGTGTAAGTACGTGTCTTACAGTTTACATAGTGAAATCAAGGGTACAATTCTCAGCATTTCTGCTCACAAAACTGGTTCTGCTAATGGTCTTCCTGCAAAAAAATTGCATCAAGCATTTGTCTTTGCTCTGCTGGTCTTATAGATGCTAAAAGAACCCTTAAAGTCCAGTTTGGGGCCTGTAAAATCCAGTTTTCAGTAAAGTACCCATTCCATTGAAATAAAAACTTTCATCAAAACTCAAAAGAGACTCAACAAAATCTGTTCTAGCATATTTGTAAATATACATTCTTATTTCCTGAAGATATTCAGGTTAAACTCAAACATTATTCCAGTGGACACAAGACTCTTGTATTTTATTAGGTTATCTCGAAGTTCTGAAGTGCAAAACTTTGCTGTCTAGTGTACTACCCTCTATATGACATATAATTTTGCCCTAAAATACAAGCAATTAGAATTAGGATGTCAAAAATATTTGAAAGTCCCATATACAGCAGCTGCGTACTATATATAAGTTTTTACCAGTTTTGATGCCCTTTATAGTATATTTCATATCACAAACATGTTACAGAATTTTCTCAAGCAATGCAGATGGTAAAAATCCTGTGTTACGAGTAATTTGTTGGCTTCAGTCTTGTAAATGTTTGCAGTTGTGCTAACCCCATGCATTTGACTTACTTTGATGGATCTAGTGAAAAGGTAAATAATATTAGCAAGCCTTTATTTTTGACAGTCTTTGAAGCCCATGCTTAATGCAGCACTATGTGTTCTGTCTGTGTGATAGTTTTTTTAACTTATTTATAATGCTACAGTAAATATATATATAAAAGAGACATTACAAAGGGAGCACTTTTAAGAACAATGTGATTGTCAGAAATTGTATTGCCCGAAGTCTCAAGTTAGAGAAGAATAAATAGAAAGGTTTGCATTTTAAACAATAGCAATTCTCTTTTGGCACTAAATTTATCTTTAATCCACAAACTTAAATGTTGCCATCTGTTCATCTTCCCCTTTTTTCCCTGAGCAGACTGTGCTGATAGGTATTCACAAGACCTTCAGGCAGCCTGCAAACTATGCCTTCAAATCTATGAGGAGAAGACATTCATCATGATATGCTGACCTTATCGCAGCTTATTTTTTATTTATTTACATCTGTCAGAATTTGAAATAATATACACCTTTTGGCTGAGGACCTTTTGAATTTGGAGAAGGTGTACTTACACCAGTCCAAGGGTACGGTATTTGAAATGTGCACCCAGAGTTTAAATTTAATAATTGCTTTCATGTGTATGTGTCTCTAATACAATATCTCAGTGCTCTCTTAATGGATTTTAACCTTTGTTCAGATTTATTATTTAATCATTTAAGCCTAGAATGTTTGTAGGCATGTTTGCATATACATGTGTATATATATATGTATATATAATTATATACATGATGTATATGTATTCAGGATATTCAGGAGCTAAGAGGCTTGCAAACAGACTGTAAATTCCATTTAAAAGGACTCAGTCTTTCTAAATGAGAACCTGATATGCTGTCTTGAGGACTTCTCACTTCCTTTCAGCCACTCCTGTACATAATCTTAAGGAACTTTGTTCTCTACTGGGTAACATATACACACATGAAGCAGAGCATGCTTAAAATGCAACTTTTCCTGTGTATTGGAATTTCAGACTAAGGATCCAGACCTGTAGGTGCTTGGTAGATGTACACTTTATGAGTGGGAATATCACTACCTGCAGAGTAAAGGTAGAAAAGAGAAAGCCACATAGGGAACACATTGCTGAGGAGGAGGAGGAGCTGGAACGTACTGCTAATACTAAACAGCCTTTTGAAAAGTAGTCAATAGGTTTAAATAATACTTGTCAGACACAAATGTATTCAAATAAAGATTGGAATCAAGAAAATAAGTGCTGTTAAACATGCCTACACTTGGACTTCAGTTTAAGTGTATCCCTATTAGTGCTCTTTCTACAAGTTTGCAGGATTTGGTATGGACAGCAATTGGGATAAGCCTCTCCCTGCAATTTTATTTACCAGCAGAGGAACAAGTAGTATAATTTCCTATTGGTGAAGGTTAGTTTTGTGATTTCATAGTCTTCTGAATTGTGCAAAAACCAAGCCCAGAGGTAGATTCATAGGCAGTGATATTTTTTTTAAAGGCAAACAATATCTTAACTTTAACTTTGCCATAATTGTTTTTTTTTAGTAAAGTAAATAAGAATAATATTAAAACATAAGGAAAACAAACCTAAGAAAAAGCTTTTTTACTGTAAGAGAGGTCTAAAACTGGAACAGTATCCCTAGCAATGTTGTGTAATCTTCACCCTTGAAGATATTCAAAAGCCATCTGGACAGTGTTCTGGGCAACATGCTCTACGCAACCCTACTCTGAGTAGGCAGGGTGGACTAGACCATCTTCGGAGATCCTTTCCAACCTCAAACATTCCATAATTCTAAGGCTCTGATGGTATACTGTGCTACTGAACAAGATTTGATTTGGTGTGGGGAGGCAGATGGACTCTGCCTACTCCTTAATTACAGCCTCTTAGTGAACAGTTTAATTTTGCTGTCACTTTAATAATACCATTAGGTTTGCAAACCACATTCCATGCAATTCTTAAGGAGGCTTTTTTGTTTGGTTTTTTTTTTAACAAATCGAAGCAAAATGCACATCCAGTGAACAGTCTAAAGTAAAAAAAAAAACCTCTGGAGATCATCAAAGTCTGTCAAGTATTCTTCCTGGGTTTCCATTGAAGTAGCAGCATTTCCATTTTAGTAGCAGTATTGGTTAGTATCAGTGAAGATTGAGGCATTAGAATGCAGAGGCATTCGGTTACATCACAATTTTCTAAACTTAACCAGAAGTTGAAAATCTCACATATCAAACAAGTTACTGTTTCTCCATAAAATGTGGAACGAGGAGAGTTAGAAGTACTCAGTGATTCTTCTGCCAAGGATATACAGTCACTAAATGAGATGGTTGAAAAGATTTATGACAAAACACTTTAACACCCATGGAGCAAAGTACTTGATGGAGTTAACTAAAATCTGTCTAAATTAAACAGTTCAGAAATGCATGCAACTGTTGAGAGTCATCACTGTGATAGCCAATGGCATCCCTGGAAGGTGGTAGGAGACAGAGTATGCCAGAGCTGTACAGAACTGAAAACTTTGTGTTAATTTTGCTGACATGGCATGGAATCTGGGAGAGCTGATGATATCACATAGGGAATACAAATAGCTTTTGGAGTTATAGGATCAAGGTTAGAACAAGATTAAAGCTGAGCTCATCTGAAGGTAGCAGGCCTGAATAGTAGAGAATATAAGCTACCTAAACAGTTCATATATAAGCTACCCAAACAGTTCATAGGCCAATGTTAATCAAGATATTATTGTGTTATACTCTAGTGTAAAACCTTAGCTTACTCTTTAATGTCTCAGTTGAAACTTTAAATAGTTGGTAAGTCTCTCGTTTGTTCAGCGTTTGCTAGTGAACTCCCCTAAACAGCAATAACACCCTGCTTTTACAGAGGCCTTAAAGGAAGCAGAAGGTTTTTAAACATGAGCTTGCAAGAAAGCTCAGAATGCCAGCAATAACAGTGTATTTTAAAGAACATCCTACTGTGTTCTTAACTGTTTAGCACTTATTCCTGAAAGTGAGTCAAGGTCTGTGGTAAGCTGAGTTAACAGTATCCTTGAAGAGCCCAAGAAAGTAGATAAAAGGCATGTCATTTTCCAACATAAATTGTTATTCTGTGGTCAAGTTGTGCCTTATTTCTCAAAGGGATAACATTTCTTGATGCTGGGAATCTTAAAGAATAAAAAATAGTGGAAAATATAAGAATGACTATTGTTTGTGCTTTTGGACTTATGATCTTTTTAACAAC